AAAACCAGACAACACAGGAGAAACACATGGTAAACTTATGTAATTTAATTCATGCATAAACATACATTTTTAAACAATCCAACACACAAGAAAAATTTCAACATACGTATCATACAAAACCTATTACTAGACTGACTGTCCGGACTGTATGAAATCTGTGTAGCTACAGGCGTTCGTGCACCCGGGTGATGTAGTAACTGGGATGCTCTCAACAGCTGCCACCCGAGGTTAGTCCTATCTGTCCCAAGTACCCCTAAGGACTAGGACCTCCTGCCGTTCCCACACATGACCTACCCTCTTCTACGTGAAGACAAGTACTTACGGAACATCAGGATAAACAGCCAGCTTAGCATGCCCACAGTCATACTTTACAAATTCCAATATTCATTCATGAGTCGTTCCTCCCCGGAACGCTCGTCCATAATCCACAACATTTCCATCCATATCATATTCTCGTATCTTTGCATATGCTAGGATAGAGAGAGAGAGAGAGGAGAGAGAGAGAGAGAGAGGAGAGAGAGGGACGGAAGTGAAGAGGAGAAGACCAAGACCCAACTATGCTTGGCCGAACGCTCAAGCACGGTATTTCGAAATGCAGGCGCTCGTCCTCAAATAGGATTCTTCCCAAATGAAAGAATCCACTTCTAATCAAGTTTACTAGAAATACCGAACTGTCAATGACCGTTCAGTGACGAACATACCCTTTCATAGGGAAATTTCATACCAGAATTATTTATATTCCAACTCATTTGTTAACATATAGTTTCGTAACTTTATACATTCATATCAAAATACATTTTCATATTTCATACCATCCAAACATAGAATTTCATATATTTCATGTATCATAACATATCACAATCATTTTTCATGTCCGATCAAGTCAACGAACGTTCATACAACACATAATCATACAGATTAAATTAATAAGCTTCCCTTACCTCTGAGCGTGAACGAACGTCCTAAAGACAGATTATGGTTCGTCTGACTACAGATCTTTCTACTCTCAACGCTCAACTATTCTTCAAACTAAACCAAACAACAGAAAATTAATAATGGCTCAGACCAGATGACAACATGCAACCAGAACTTGGTTTGCATGTACCAGAAAACGATAAGCTAAAGACAAGGAAACTTACCGGTTTCAGAACTAGAAACTGTTTGGTTCAAAATGAAGCTCTGGACGTCGGAAGTGCTTCTACGGTGCCTGAAAGGTGATCGGAGAAGAGAAAGGGTGAGTTTTGGTAGAGAGAAGGGAGAGCTTTTAGAGAGAAGGAGGAGAATTTGAGAAAAATCAGATTTTGGAGAAGAAGATGCATGCAGAGAGTGTGACGCGATTTTCAGAAAAATCAGTTTTGTTAAAACCGAACGTCCGCTCCTCTGCTGACACCTGCATTACACTATCTGATTTCTGATCCTCGTTGCTTGACACCTGGCGTCCGTTCAGAGGGGTTTTGGGTGCGTTTTTAATGAGGTCTGACATTCCCTCCAACTACAAAAATTTTCGTCCTCGAAAATTAAAACTTACCCGAAAATAGATGAGGATACAAGTCCCTCATGGCATCCTCCACTTCCCATGTAGAGTCGCCAGTCTTCTCGTCCCAGACCACTTTCACCAGTCGGATGACTTTCCTCTTGTAGTACTTGGTGCGGTTGTCTTCAACACGAACATGTTGCATCTCTAGTGTTCGGTCTTGACGAAGACGAACGTCCTCTAACTCCAGTACATGAGAAGGGTCTGCTATGTACTTCCGAAGTTGAGAAACGTGGAAGACTGGATGAAGGTTGGACAGTTGAGGGGGCAAGGACAACTCGTACGCCACTGATCCAATTCTTCTTAGGATTTGATAAGGCCCAATGAACTTGGGAGACAGCTTCTTAGGACGAACGACTCTGCCTACTCCAGTAGTTGGATTCAGTCTAAGAAAGACATGATCTCCTGCCGCGAACTCCAAAGGCCTTCTTCTCTTGTCAGCGTAGGACTTCTGTCTGCTCCTCGACGTCTTCAACCTCTCTTGAATCAATTTCACCTTCTCGGTGGTCTGCTGAATAAGTTCAGGTCCAATCAACACATTCTCTCCTTCCTGGAACCAACATAGTGGCGTTCTGCACTTCCTCCCGTAAAGAGCCTCAAAAGGTGCCATTCCAATGCTGGATTGAAAGTTGTTGTTGTACATGAATTCAACCAAAGGAAGAATTTCGTCCCAAACGCCCAAATGGTCTAGTACACACGTTCTCAGCAAGTCTTCAAGCGTCTGGATGGTCCTCTCAGATTGACCGTCCGTCTGAGGGTGATAGGCTGAACTCATTTGAAGTTTGCTACCCAATTCGCTTTGCAGGGATGTAAACCTTGTATCTCGGTCAGAGATGATGCTGGATGGCACTCCATGCAAACGAACGATCTCGTTGATGTAAAGTTTAGCTAGGTTCGTCATAGACATCTTCAGGTTGACAACTAAGAAGTGTGGGCTCTTCGTCAGTCGATCCACTATTACCCAAATTGAGTCGCGATTCTTTACCGTGCGGGGTAAGTGGGTTACAAAGTGCATGGAAATGCTGTCCCACTTCCATTCAGGAATTTCCAACTGCTGTAGTAGACCGCCCAGCCTCTGATGCTCTGCCTTGGCCCGTTGGCAAGTTAAACATGATGCCACAAAACGAGCGACATCACTCTTCATTCCCGACCACTAGAAAGACTTCCTGAGATCTTGATACATCTTAGTCATGCCAGGATGCATGCTAAGACGACTTTGATGTCCTTCCTCCAGGATAATCCTCTTCAGCTCGCCGTCGTTCGGAACGCACGTTCTGTCTCTGTATCGAAGGAGACCGTCCGTTCCGGTGTTGAAGTACTCAGCTTTGTCCGTACCGAGCACGCTCAAGATCTTCTGCAGGTCTTCATCGTCTGACTGCTTCTCTTTGATCCGGTCAAAGATATCACTGGATACTCTAAGGTTACAGCATCTAATACTGTTCGGTTCTAAATCGAACTATAACCTTAAGTCTCTAAAGCTTTCCACCAAACTCAGCTCTTTGACCATCATTGCCGAAACATGAACTACCTTCCTACTCAAGGCGTCTAATACAACGTTCGCCTTCCCTGGATGGTAGAGTAGTTCAAAGTCATAGTCCTTCAAGAACTCAAGCCACCTCCTCTGTCTCATATTCAACTCCTTCTGATCAAAGAAGTACTTGAGACTCTTGTGATCGCTGAAGACTTGGAAGGTAGATCCGTACAAGTAGTGTCTCCAAATCTTCAACGCGAAGACCACTGCTGCCAGCTCCAAGTCGTGCGTTGGGTAGTTCTTCTCATGTATCTTCAGCTGCCTAGAAGCGTACGCGACCGCTCTTTTCTCTTGCATAAGCACACAACCCAAACCTTGATGAGAAGCGTCACAATAGACTTCGAATGGTTTGGCCGTGTCAGGAATGACCAAAACTAGAGCGCTCGTCAACTTCTGCTTCAGTTCTTGGAAACTCGATTCACATCGATCGGTCCAGGCGAACGGGTGATCCTTTCGGGTCAGTTGTGTTAATGGCGCTACTATCTTAGAAAATCCTTCAATAAAGCGCCTATAGTAGCCCGCAAGCCCCACGAAACTTCGGACATCAGTGACCGAACGCGGACTCTCCCATTCTAACATCGCTCGCACTTTAGCTGGATCCACCAAGATACCTCCAGCCGAAACTACGTGCCCCAAGAATTGTACTTCCTTCATCCAAAACTCACACTTGGATAACTTGGCGTACAACTCCTTTTCCCTCAATACGCCCAACACCATCCTCAAGTGTTCTTCATGTTCTTCACAGCTCTTGGAGTAGATGAGGATATCATCAATGAAGACAACCACGAACTTGTCAAGGAACGGCCTAAAGATGCGATTCATGTAGTCCATGAAGATCGCTGGTGCATTAGTGACACCGAACGACATCACTACATACTCGTAGTGTCCGTAACGAGACCGAAAGGTAGTCTTCTGAATGTCCCCTTCCTTAACCCGAATTTGATGATATCCCGATCGCAAATCAATCTTTCAGAATATAGTAGCCCCATGCAGTTGATACAATAGATCATCAATCCTCGGCAAGGGGTACTTGTTCTTGATGGTCAGCTTGTTTAATTGTCTGTAGTCAATACAAAGCCGAGAGCTGTCATCCTTCTTCTTCACTAAGAGAACTGGCGCTCCCCAAGGCCATGCACTTGGCCGAATGAACTGCTTGTCCATTAAATCTTCAATCTGCTTCTTGAGTTCGACCAACTCTGCTGGTGACATCCGATATGGTGCAATAGAAATGGGCCCCGCGGACGACACCAAGTCAATAGTGAATTCTACCTCGCGAGGAGGAGGTAATCCAGGTACTTCGTCTGGAAATACGTCTAGGAATTCGTCCACAACTGATCGTCCTCCACTCAGCTTGCTATTGGACGATCGTTCATGACTTGAATCTTCGAACTCTTCATACGAGTGCGTCATGATCAGAAAACAACTGGCGCCCTCTATGATATCCTCCTTTAGCTGACCGAGCGTCACAGACAACTCTTCTTCTTCATCAGGAAAAACTAACTTCTTTTCACCATAATCTATGAAAATGCGATTGACAGCCAACCAATCCATTCCTAAAATCACCTCTAACTCTTTTAGAGGTAAACATATGAGGTTCACCTTATATCTACGCCCTTCTACCTCAATAGGACATTTAGCACAAACCGTAGACGTTCTAACCTCACCAGCAGCTGGGGTTGACACCACCAAGTCGAACTGCATCTCGCTCTCAACTAACCCCAGTTTCTCAACGCACGCCTTCGAGATGAAGGAGTGTGTTTCCCCCGAATCATACAACACACAACAGGGCATTCCATATAATAAGCAGGTGCTGGTGATAAGAGTACCTGAGCTTGCTATTTCAGCGCCCGTTATGGCGTACACTCGACCAGTCGCTTGCGCTCGACCACCTCTACCTTGTTGAACTCTTCCTGCGTTCGGTGGCCTCATTACCGCTCATCCTCCCATGTTACACTCGCTCTCCAGATGACCAGTTCTTCCACAACGAGTGCAATATTTTCCGCCTACCAACTGAGGACACGACGAACGGTAGTGCGGTCCTCCACACTGAAAACAAGTCACGGTCCCTTGCTGTCCAGATCGACCGGCAGCAACCACTGCTTGAACTTGGGACCCACCAGTATTAGGAGGCAACGTTGGACGAGCGTAAGGTGTTCTTCTCAGATTCGCATTGTTCCTAGAAGATATGGGTCCTCTTACTGATTGTTGTTGTTGCTTCTTCTGCTGTTCCACCTCTTGAACGTTCTTCTCTAATACTTTTGCTCTCTCAACAATAGCAGGAAAAGACCTAATACATAGGCTGGATATCAGCAGCTTCAACTCACTCCTCAGCCCATTTTCAAACTTTCTACACTGCCATTCTTCACTGGTCGCCATAGTGTTAAATCTCACTAAATGTTTGAATTTGTTGGTGTATTCCGACACTGACATCCCCCCTTGCACTAACTGAAGAAACTCCACCTCCTTTGCAAAACGAACGTTATCTCTGGGAAGTATTCCTCGTAAAACTTGTTTCTGAATACTTCCCATGAGATGGGACTCTGAGCGTCCGTCAGAATCATCTTCATGATCATCCACCAATAACTAGCCTCTCCAGTCAGCAAATACTTTGTAAAGGCCAATCTTGTCATCCGAACACCCCTTAACATTGTAGATCCATTCCATATCAAGCAGCCACTGATCTGCCTCATCAGGAAGGCACTTCCCATTGAATTTGGTTGGGTGTAGAAAACTCTCTAAGCTCCACTCGGCCTGATGGGTTCCAAACTCTGTAAAGCGGTCGTATTCTGCTGCGATGATCTTCATCAGTTGCCTTTGGGTCGCTTCAGAGTTGGCACGTGCGGCTTCCAAACTCTGTAAAGCGGCCGTATTCTGCTGCTGTAGAGCTTTTATTACTGATTCTAATAGTCTGGTGTTGTCGGATGCATCACGTTCGGTAGGTTGAGGAAGAGGTCTCGGTGCCATTAGTTCTCTGAGAAGCAGAGAAAGCAATAATTAGTTAAGTTCAAGGAGTTTAAAATACTCATCAAACGAACGTTGAGCACACAACAAAAGCATAACATACTCATAACCTACAATGTTCTTTAAGCAACAAAACTGCTTTGATACCTGATAACAGTTGAAAAACTATTATTTTCATGCTTAAAATTGATACTAAAAGAAACCTTTAACACTTAGAAACTAGCTTGAAATCATGCTTTTGGGTATATTTTTAGAAATAAGAGAGCTGAACAGGTTTATGCTTGATTTCAGTGTTTTATGCAGGTTTTAAGGTGAATTTAGTGAAAGAAGTGAAGAAGGATAGAAATGGAATCAGAAAAGACATCAAAAAGTGCAAAAGGAGAAGTCGAAATTACCGCTGAGCGGCAGTTTACCGCTAAGCGGCACTCAGGCAATCACGGTGGATCCGCTGAGGGGTGAAAATGCCGCTAAGGGGGAAGAATCAACTCACGCACTTATCGCTGAGCGGCAGTTTACCGCTGAGCGGCAGTTTACCGCTGAGCGNTGTATCTCGGTCAGAGATGATGCTGGATGGCACTCCATGCAAACGAACGATCTCGTTGATGTAAAGTTTAGCTAGGTTCGTCATAGACATCTTCAGGTTGACAACTAAGAAGTGTGGGCTCTTCGTCAGTCGATCCACTATTACCCAAATTGAGTCGCGATTCTTTACCGTGCGGGGTAAGTGGGTTACAAAGTGCATGGAAATGCTGTCCCACTTCCATTCAGGAATTTCCAACTGCTGTAGTAGACCGCCCAGCCTCTGATGCTCTGCCTTGGCCCGTTGGCAAGTTAAACATGATGCCACAAAACGAGCGACATCACTCTTCATTCCCGACCACTAGAAAGACTTCCTGAGATCTTGATACATCTTAGTCATGCCAGGATGCATGCTAAGACGACTTTGATGTCCTTCCTCCAGGATAATCCTCTTCAGCTCGCCGTCGTTCGGAACGCACGTTCTGTCTCTGTATCGAAGGAGACCGTCCGTTCCGGTGTTGAAGTACTCAGCTTTGTCCGTACCGAGCACGCTCAAGATCTTCTGCAGGTCTTCATCGTCTGACTGCTTCTCTTTGATCCGGTCAAAGATATCACTGGATACTCTAAGGTTACAGCATCTAATACTGTTCGGTTCTAAATCGAACTATAACCTTAAGTCTCTAAAGCTTTCCACCAAACTCAGCTCTTTGACCATCATTGCCGAAACATGAACTACCTTCCTACTCAAGGCGTCTAATACAACGTTCGCCTTCCCTGGATGGTAGAGTAGTTCAAAGTCATAGTCCTTCAAGAACTCAAGCCACCTCCTCTGTCTCATATTCAACTCCTTCTGATCAAAGAAGTACTTGAGACTCTTGTGATCGCTGAAGACTTGGAAGGTAGATCCGTACAAGTAGTGTCTCCAAATCTTCAACGCGAAGACCACTGCTGCCAGCTCCAAGTCGTGCGTTGGGTAGTTCTTCTCATGTATCTTCAGCTGCCTAGAAGCGTACGCGACCGCTCTTTTCTCTTGCATAAGCACACAACCCAAACCTTGATGAGAAGCGTCACAATAGACTTCGAATGGTTTGGCCGTGTCAGGAATGACCAAAACTAGAGCGCTCGTCAACTTCTGCTTCAGTTCTTGGAAACTCGATTCACATCGATCGGTCCAGGCGAACGGGTGATCCTTTCGGGTCAGTTGTGTTAATGGCGCTACTATCTTAGAAAATCCTTCAATAAAGCGCCTATAGTAGCCCGCAAGCCCCACGAAACTTCGGACATCAGTGACCGAACGCGGACTCTCCCATTCTAACATCGCTCGCACTTTAGCTGGATCCACCAAGATACCTCCAGCCGAAACTACGTGCCCCAAGAATTGTACTTCCTTCATCCAAAACTCACACTTGGATAACTTGGCGTACAACTCCTTTTCCCTCAATACGCCCAACACCATCCTCAAGTGTTCTTCATGTTCTTCACAGCTCTTGGAGTAGATGAGGATATCATCAATGAAGACAACCACGAACTTGTCAAGGAACGGCCTAAAGATGCGATTCATGTAGTCCATGAAGATCGCTGGTGCATTAGTGACACCGAACGACATCACTACATACTCGTAGTGTCCGTAACGAGACCGAAAGGTAGTCTTCTGAATGTCCCCTTCCTTAACCCGAATTTGATGATATCCCGATCGCAAATCAATCTTTCAGAATATAGTAGCCCCATGCAGTTGATACAATAGATCATCAATCCTCGGCAAGGGGTACTTGTTCTTGATGGTCAGCTTGTTTAATTGTCTGTAGTCAATACAAAGCCGAGAGCTGTCATCCTTCTTCTTCACTAAGAGAACTGGCGCTCCCCAAGGAAATGCACTTGGCCGAATGAACTGCTTGTCCATTAAATCTTCAATCTGCTTCTTGAGTTCGACCAACTCTGCTGGTGACATCCGATATGGTGCAATAGAAATGGGCCCCGCGGACGACACCAAGTCAATAGTGAATTCTACCTCGCGAGGAGGAGGTAATCCAGGTACTTCGTCTGGAAATACGTCTAGGAATTCGTCCACAACTGATCGTCCTCCACTCAGCTTGCTATTGGACGATCGTTCATGACTTGAATCTTCGAACTCTTCATACGAGTGCGTCATGATCAGAAAACAACTGGCGCCCTCTATGATATCCTCCTTTAGCTGACCGAGCGTCACAGACAACTCTTCTTCTTCATCAGGAAAAACTAACTTCTTTTCACCATAATCTATGAAAATGCGATTGACAGCCAACCAATCCATTCCTAAAATCACCTCTAACTCTTTTAGAGGTAAACATATGTGGTTCACCTTATATCTACGCCCTTCTACCTCAATAGGACATTTAGCACAAACCGTAGACGTTCTAACCTCACCAGCAGCTGGGGTTGACACCACCAAGTCGAACTGCATCTCGCTCTCAACTAACCCCAGTTTCTCAACGCACGCCTTCGAGATGAAGGAGTGTGTTTCCCCCGAATCATACAACACACAACAGGGCATTCCATATAATAAGCAGGTGCTGGTGATAAGAGTACCTGAGCTTGCTATTTCAGCGCCCGTTATGGCGTACACTCGACCAGTCGCTTGCGCTCGACCACCTCTACCTTGTTGAACTCTTCCTGCGTTCGGTGGCCTCATTACCGCTCATCCTCCCATGTTACACTCGCTCTCCAGATGACCAGTTCTTCCACATCGAGTGCAATATTTTCCGCCTACCAACTGAGGACACGACGAACGGTAGTGCGGTCCTCCACACTGAAAACAAGTCACGGTCCCTTGCTGTCCAGATCGACCGGCAGCAACCACTGCTTGAACTTGGGACCCACCAGTATTAGGAGGCAACGTTGGACGAGCGTAAGGTGTTCTTCTCAGATTCGCATTGTTCCTAGAAGATATGGGTCCTCTTACTGATTGTTGTTGTTGCTTCTTCTGCTGTTCCACCTCTTGAACGTTCTTCTCTAATACTTTTGCTCTCTCAACAATAGCAGGAAAAGACCTAATACATAGGCTGGATATCAGCAGCTTCAACTCACTCCTCAGCCCATTTTCAAACTTTCTACACTGCCATTCTTCACTGGTCGCCATAGTGTTAAATCTCACTAAATGTTTGAATTTGTTGGTGTATTCCGACACTGACATCCCCCCTTGCACTAACTGAAGAAACTCCACCTCCTTTGCAAAACGAACGTTATCTCTGGGAAGTATTCCTCGTAAAACTTGTTTCTGAATACTTCCCATGAGATGGGACTCTGAGCGTCCGTCAGAATCATCTTCATGATCATCCACCAATAACTAGCCTCTCCAGTCAGCAAATACTTTGTAAAGGCCAATCTTGTCATCCGAACACCCCTTAACATTGTAGATCCATTCCATATCAAGCAGCCACTGATCTGCCTCATCAGGAAGGCACTTCCCATTGAATTTGGTTGGGTGTAGAAAACTCTCTAAGCTCCACTCGGCCTGATGGGTTCCAAACTCTGTAAAGCGGTCGTATTCTGCTGCGATGATCTTCATCAGTTGCCTTTGGGTCGCTTCAGAGTTGGCACGTGCGGCTTCCAAACTCTGTAAAGCGGCCGTATTCTGCTGCTGTAGAGCTTTTATTACTGATTCTAATAGTCTGGTGTTGTCGGATGCATCACGTTCGGTAGGTTGAGGAAGAGGTCTCGGTGCCATTAGTTCTCTGAGAAGCAGAGAAAGCAATAATTAGTTAAGTTCAAGGAGTTTAAAATACTCATCAAACGAACGTTGAGCACACAACAAAAGCATAACATACTCATAACCTACAATGTTCTTTAAGCAACAAAACTGCTTTGATACCTGATAACAGTTGAAAAACTATTATTTTCATGCTTAAAATTGATACTAAAAGAAACCTTTAACACTTAGAAACTAGCTTGAAATCATGCTTTTGGGTATATTTTTAGAAATAAGAGAGCTGAACAGGTTTATGCTTGATTTCAGTGTTTTATGCAGGTTTTAAGGTGAATTTAGTGAAAGAAGTGAAGAAGGATAGAAATGG